AAAAACGGTGACACTTTTACCTGAAAATTTTTTGTTTATCAGTGAGCTCACCCCCCCACCTACCTTGCCCTAAAGTTTGGCACGTTACTTCTGGGACACCCTGTATGTATACACATATACATATGCACGTGTATCGGTACCAATTAAACTCACTAATACGCATACTCGTCCAATTTACCCACCGTTCAATTGCTGATTTGAGGAGAAACTGAACGAAAAGTCATTGTTCGGCGGGTCAAACGGAACTAATTTAATTTTGCCATGGTCACTTCCCTGTGAAATACCAAAGGATCACCAGCTATCACGCCACATCAAGGTAAAATCAACCAGACAATATTGCGATGTATTTTTACAACCTGTTGCCAATAAATTTGTAAGATCAATTATATACTCAACACTAAAACCGAGTTGTTTTTCTTCTTTTTTTTATTCCTTTACGTCTGAGCGCTCCACTCCGTGAGACGTGCTGGCGTAATTATTGGTCCCTGCGATCCGTGGAAATAATAAAATCTTTAACACAGCGCAATAAACTACATTCAGTCCACAACTTTATCACACAAAACCACATTCGCCACTGAAGCGTCCACAACACTAAGGAGTTAACCATTGCTTGCTATTGGACCACATATTCAGCCATTAAAAAACGAAAAGAAACGGGTAAAGTCATTGCATTTTTCATTATACACATATATGAATAAGAGCGGGAAGAAAGTCCATTTTAAATCACTCACAGTATTGTTAGTGTAAAATTGAGTTCGTCAACTTGAAGCACACACACTAATATAACTTCTTATAAATTCATAAGTGCAAAGCGCAGATTAATTATCGGCTTTCACAGTTTATTCTGTTGCTGAAGGTTTTTTTTTTAAGATTTTTCCATTAATTTGGACTTCCCACAAATATCACTCAGTTTCAATACTGCAATCGATTTCTGTTGCAGTTTTCAAAGCACAATCAAACACTGACTCCCCCTTTTCTTTCAGTTCCATAAGATTCACTTGCGCGTATTAAAGCACAAAACACCTCTGTTTATAACCGCCAATTAACTCTCCGTCAGACACATGTTTCGATTGGCACATTCGGTACGCATAAGTCTGGCTGGACCCATATGCAAATTGTATACATTTATATAGAAATTATGTGCAAAATTTGTTCAGTTAAACTTATTTATTGTATTTTATTCAAATATTTACTTAATTTAAGGGCTTTCTTTTTTTATTTAATTATTTAAATACACTGGCGATCAAAACCAACTTTTTTAATAATAAGCGGATTGCTTTGAACTTTTCAGCAATTTGTCTTTATTATTTAAGATATAAAGCCTAGTATACAGAAAAATTAACAAGTGATTCCCAGCAAAAAGGCAAGGCAGCTCTCTTCACTCAGCGTTGAACTTTTCTCTCTTGATATTTTTGGAGGTATATATCAAGAGGATTGTGGATACTCCTTTGCTTTTTATAGCGATTTTCATACGTCTGGGTATGCTCTCTACTAGGTTTTCTATGATTTCGCTTGGAATATTACCCCATTATAATTTTACTCGCCTCCAAAGCTCTTCTATGTTACTGGAGCTCGCTTGTGCTATGCTAATCCTCTCTTGACCACAGCGCTCAATTTTTCGATAGCTTTGAAGTCTGGGATTTGTGCTGGCCACCATGTTAGACGTTTTTCTTGGCATGGTGTTTTTGAAGATGTTGATGAGGTCTTTCCCAAAAATATGCCTTTTTTCCATCGGACCATATTATCCCTTTTGAGTCCAGAAACTTAAAGTACAAAATTTCAGGGGCAGCTGAATGGCTTGGGATATTTTACTTGCTGGCATTTGGTGCCATGGGTTAATATAAAATGTATAATGAACATATCCTCCAAACAAATTTGCCGGACCTTGTAGACAAAAGCGCAAATCCCGCGGAAGAAGTGGTTTGCCAGCAGGACGGAGATCCAAAGGATTCTAAAAATATTCGACACCGCCGGCTGCTTGAGCAAAATTTCCACGTAATGCAGTGGGCAGCACAAACCGCAGACCTCAACGCCATCGAAAAATTGAGCGCTGTGGTCAAGAGAGGATTAGCATAGCACAAGCGAGCTCCGAGTAACATGGAAGAGCTTTAGAGGCTAGTAAAATTATAAAGGGGTAATATTCCATTGCATTCCGTTGTATTCCTTCATTTTAGGTAAAAATCATCTCTTGCCATGATAATTCAAAAATTTAAAAGAAAACTTTGAAAAACGGTTGCATTCCTTCATTTTAGGTAAAAATTACATAGGAATATATGTGGGTCCAGCCAGACCTATGTGTTACGAATGTGATGTATTAATCAACATGTCTATATATCTAGCTTTATATATA